GGGAGAGCTCCTCGTGTGACATGCTCACTCCCCTACCAATCGATAGGCTCTGTGCCGATCATGTCGAGGAGAACTCCTCGGAGACATGCACACTCTACTACCGATCGCGTAAGAGAACCTTTTGTGCAAGATATGCGCTCTCCCCCATTTGGTAAGACTTATGCCAATCATCTAGTTGCCTACCCCATGTTCATTTCACAGTTTAGCCTAATTACCTCTTTGTCGAAACGACTCTTAACTTGCAAACTTGGGGGACTGGGGGGCTACCTACGGCGTCCGTCACGCCGAATCGCTCAGTTTGATTATTCGGCATTTTACAAGTTTCCAACCTATAAGCCACTTGTTGATTGGCAACTTACTGGACTACTATTTGTACCATAATCAACCAAGCACTTTCGGCATTGGGGGACTGGCGCACAGACAAACCCACAGCCTGCCGAAGGGAAAACACTTCTAGAAAATATCTAAACATTGATGATGTCATCGTGATCTCAGCTTCCGAAGATACGTCTTCCTCCAATATGGCAATAGACTATCAAAGCTTCAACTTACAGTACCTAAGCCTTGGACATGTATCGCCTCCACATTGATTTGCACAAAGTCCCGCATCGAAACTTTGTACAAATACTCACTTCCATTCCTCTATAAAAGGGGAATAGTGTCAAAATTACTGTGTCCCCCACACTTGCTAACTTAAGCGTTAGAGAGCCTTCGATAGGTACCACACCGGTGCTGGAAGCTTGATGACTGCTTATTTTGTCCCTCTTCTGTAGGTCAACCTTTCTACCGAAAGTCTCCCTGCTGAATATCTGCACCTTCCTATCTCTGCTGAAGACCCCATACTTCATCACCTAAAGTTGAAACCAGATTTGGACATCAACATCAATTAATATAAGGATGATGCCTCAAAATATCTAGGATAATAGAACACACTATTCCATGGGAAACCACGTCGGCCCCAACTTCTCATCAATTGTGTTTTAAGTCTTTAGCTTTAGGTTTTAGCTTGTAATAAGATCATTCCATTTCTAATATATAAGCGATAGTCTAAAATTACTCTAAATTAATCTTATCTGTAGAAAGGGGAATTCGAACTTGGATATAGAGAAACAGAATCATTACACTGACCAACTGGCATAACTCACATTTGCAACTGATTCCATTTCTTAAAGAATGGTTTTGAGAACTATACCATGTTACTATATCCATGTTTGAAAGAATAACAAAATAAACAATCACATATACCTTTGAATAAAACTGTATTATTACCATATTTACTGATATCACACCTCTCACATAGATTGGACTAACTAAAATATGTTGATTTTATGTAAACAAATCAATAACATAATACATGTACATGAGAGAGAGAGAGAGAGAGAGAGAGAGAGAGAGAGAGAGAGAGAGAGCAAATGAAGTACCAGCTACCATGTTCATTTTTCATATGAATTAAGTACATCCGTGAATATGGCAGGCACTTCCTTGATAAAGGCGGCAAATTAATGTATATTCTAAACACCCCTCTAATCATAATTAGTGCCTCCCAAGTACTTTTATTTTATCCTCACTCATTAAAAACTACATAAATTCAAGTTGAGGTACAGATGGAAGGTACCACGAAACAAAGAGAGGGAGAGAGAAAGAGAAAAGAAGATGAAGAAGAAGACGTATAGCTACATGTGGGTATGGTTTGGGGACAAAGCAAAGGAAGCTTAATTACAGCATCCATCCGAACAATTCACATGGGAGCTGTGACGTGATTCCCTACAGTTTCTCTGTCCACCCTTTCCTTCAAGCATCATGCCCAAATCCCCTAATCCCACTAATATATTAAGATTATCTTACAACTGCTAATATAATACTAGGTCCACCTCCTGCGCATAACCCTCACACCAAGAAGCTTCAATGCGAATGGTTTTTCTTGTTTTCTTTCTTGGGTTAATTGATTACTTACATTAGTAAGACTTGTTAGAGTAAAATTTTACGTGAATATCCCAAATTCACAGAGATGTTATAATCGACTGGCCTAACTCACATTTGCGAAAGAAAATATTTTTTAATACGATAAGTAATTCCTAAAAATGGCCATGATACTATTGATCCAAGGACGAGTAATGGGGGTTGGTTGGCACTTGATACTATATGAATCATTCCCCCACCCCATGTGGATGGATCAGACGGTCAGAATTGAGACTGTCAAGGTTAAAATGTGGAGGGGGTGGTGCATGTACATCATCGGAATGTTCCCTTGGATGCAAAATGAAAAAAAGAAAGAAAGAAAGAAAAAATAAAAATAATGAGGCTATTATTATAAGCTCCCCCACTAAAGAGACGGGCACGAGGGCACGTGGTGGGCTGATTCCGCTAGTTATTAAAACTAGTACTGGCGACTTTCCAGTAAAACCGTTGAGCCCCAACCTCCTCCCAGCTGGCGATAGCTGTCCGATCCCTCCCTCTCCCATGTGACCCCACTGCACATTAGAGATCGAGAGAAAAAAATATTTCATTAAATAAATAATAAAAAAATTAAAAATGAAAGAAGAAGCTCAAAATATAATCATGTTGTCTCGTGGGTTTCTTTCTTAATCCCCTCTCCTCAACAATATTCATGATTGAACCTTCAACATTCCCTGGGTTGTGTGTATTTTTTTTTTGGGTATATATATAGGAGCCTTTGTTGGAGCTTGTAATTTTGTTTGGTTTCTTCCAAGACTCATATCCCTCATCTCCTCTCTTTCATTCTCTCTCTCTCTCTCTCTCCCTCTCCCTCCCTTTCTCTCTCTTAATCATTTTAACATTCCAAGTTTGATTGAGATTGTGGTTAATTTGTGTACATTATGGCACAATTACCTCCAAAAATCCCAAGCATGACACCCAGTTGGCCTGACTTTTCTCACCAAAAGATGCCTCCCATGGGCCATTTTGCACCCAATGGAAATGCCCCAGCGGTCAACGCCGCCACCGCATCTCAAAACACTTGTTGGGTTGATGAATTCATTGACTTCTCTTCGGCGAGACGGGGGTCCCACCGGAGATCGGTCAGAGACTCCATTACCTTCCTCGAGGCACCAATGCAGGACGAATGCCGTGCACCGCATGGTTCACACCCCAACAACCACGAGTTTGATAGGTTTGACGACGAACAATTCATGTCCATGTTCACAACCGATGAAATCTCTGCTGCCGCCGCCGCCGGCCGCACGGGCTCGTCCTCGAACCCGTCCTCGCCTTCGGACCATAACAGCATTAATGAGGACGAGAAAGAAGCGGAGGCGCCTCATCACAAGCAGCTGAAGAACGAATCTGAAGAGGTGGAAAGCCAATGCGAACAACCAAATCCAAATGATACAACAAAGAGCACGTCCAATGACAGGAAAATTGATCCAAAAAGGGTCAAGAGGTAAATCATGCAACACAGAGTCATTTTCCAATAACGTAATTACCCTTTTGTAATTTTGTAAAAATTATGTTGAATTAAATTTTTAATTACGTGTTTTTGTGTTTGCATTAGAATCTTGGCAAACAGACAATCTGCACAAAGATCACGGGTGAGGAAACTGCAATACATATCAGAACTCGAACGCAGCGTTACCTCTCTACAAGTAGGTTAAATATGTAAATTCTGAATTTAATTAATTAATTTCGTTGTGAAATTTTACCTTAATTACTAGCTGATTAATTAATTTCATTAGACTAAATTTTACTGACTCTTTTTTTTCCTTTCTTTTTGGTTGCAATTTGCAAAACGAAGGCTGAAGTTTCAGTTTTGTCACCGCGGGTTGCGTTTCTTGACCATCAACGCTTGCTGCTAAATGTCGACAACAGTGCTCTCAAACAAAGAATTGCAGCATTGGCGCAGGATAAGATTTTCAAAGATGGTACGTATATATAATTACACTTTTATATCATCAATTATTTAACTTCACAAAATTACATAATTAGTAATATGAATCTTGTTCATTTTATTTTGTAACAAAACATCATGATTTTGGACTTGGGTTTTAAGTTCCTGGCATATGCAGACCTGTGTTAGGCTAGTTGGTCAGGGCAAGTGAGTCGGCCCATTTACAGCCAAGTTCGAGTCCTTATTCCTGTAGATTAGATTAATTTAGAGTAATTTATCGATTGTATATATAGGAAAAATATAAAATTAAGATCAATTTCAATCTAGGTCACATGTGTCCAAATATCAAATTTTATAATAAACTTATTTTTATCAATTTTAATTTATCTTGAATGAAGACCATTATTGTCCTTCAATCAGTTCAGCTCCTAGCTACCAACTTTTATACTGGTGTACTGAGATCTAATTAATTCCCTCAGCCATGTTAGGAAAAAAAATAAAATTAAGAGCTGCAAGCCATAAAAGGGTGGTTATGCTTGGTACTCAAAACTATGAAAATGGAAAAAGACCTCTAGATTGGATAAAGAGACTTATTTGATCCAACCAACAATCAATGCACAGCACAAAGCAGCCTCAAGGTCATCCATGCATGCTAAGAGTAGAAAAGAAAATTAAGGAGATGATGCATATCATGTGGCACTTCCTACTTTGAAAGTAGAAAAGAGGATCATATTAGAGCGGTGGGACGAACATACGAGTAATGTTAGATAGATCACATTTATGGGTCAAATTATAATTATAAATGCAGTCCACAACAACTGTGATACATAATAATGTATGAATTTTTATTCATATTCTTTTAAGGGGTGTTAGGTAAACTCCATGAAGATGTATGAACTTTTATTTTATACAAGTTCAGGAGGGAAGAGAAGTGATTAGGAATAAAGTAATATAATAATGGTCTCTAACGTATAGGCATGTGTTTACATGTGTACTTCTCATGTGCAAAATTTTAATAATGTGGGTTGGGCTGTCATAAGTGATCACATGTACTTATGAAATTATTTAAACCTTATTATATTTGGTTTTTTTTTTTTTTTTTTGGGTAAAAAAAAATGCAGCTCATCAAGAAGCATTGAAGAGGGAAATAGAGAGGCTAAGGCAAGTGTATCACCAACAAAACCTCAAGAAGATGGAGAACGTTGCTCAATCACCAACAACACCCTCAGACACCATAACAACTCCTGCAAAAGAACAGCTCCTCAATGTTTCCTCCTAATCATCATTTAAGTTCCTCTAGTATGGTTAATTAAGGGTCTAATGAAATCTCATCATGTGGCCTCCAAACAAATTATTACCCTAAATTCATGTCTATGGGGTCTATTGAAAATCATATCAGCATTTTGGATGATTGATTTCAAAGCTACATGGGTCTTTTGAGGAAATTGAAGACGGATCGATTATAAGAAAAATAGACGCATAGTTGTATACAACTGATCATACTCACCGTGTGAGTAAGTTGGGTGATTTTTTTTTTTTTTTTTTTTTTTGGTTTGAACCACGAGGTGGTCCTGGATGGGCCCCAACTATGGGTGGCACCTTTAAACCTTAAATTGGGTGATTTTTTCAAGACATGATGAACACGGAAAGAAGTCACATTATTCTGGGTGACTTGGCTGCTGCTGCTGCTGCTGACCTGTGCAGTCACGTGTTGTGTTTAGCTGTAAAGAAGGGGACCACTCAGATAATGAATGATTGGGTTGCAGGAAGGAACATGTGCGTCTGTGGTTTTTAGAAAGAAAAGAAGGATTAGGATTGTACCGCTTTAGCTGATTTTGGGTGTGTATGTGATGATTCGTTAATATTCTATTGCGACTATTTTTTTAATTTAACTTTTATTTTTATTTTTGGATTTTGGATTTTCAACTTAGTGCTAATTGGTATAAGGCAAAGTATAGTGGGGTTGTGTTGGGATGAACGAAAGTAAGGGTAGTAGCTGCAGGGAGATGCTCGGCACTTTGAGACGTCAGATTTGTTGTACATTTTTAGTGTATTATTGGTTGTAATAACTTCATTGGCCGAAATCATTTATCAAAACGAGGTTTAAATTATAAAGAGAACGAGATTTTTCACACACATTATCAACATTATAAGTCAATATGCAAATTAAAGTCTTTTTTATAGTCAGATTAAGTTTTGTTAAACAAATGTTGTTAGCATATGACATAATGGAGCAGATTCATGCTCTACAACCACAATCATTCCATCACTGTCATGAATCTCTCCAATCACTTCTGAGAAGTGGATTGTAAATTTGATCAAGCATGATTTGTGGCCTCCTCAAGTGAGTCTGTGCAGCAAGCAGCGGCTGGCACCTTTGGTCTTATTGACTTCACCAATGCCTCACTGGAATATCTAAGATCATATTAAGGTTTGCATATTTATGACTAGTGGTGGGGGACACGTACATGTATGCTTAATTATATTAGTGCCTATGAAGTTATGGTAAAATTTCATATTACTCCTCGCAAGGTCATGACTACGCATTTTACCTTTTTATTAATATTTTGTGTCTCACGTTGTCCTGATATCAAAATTGATAAGCTTCAAGATGCAAGCTTTCGAGAAGAAAAAAAAACCTTCAACATGAGACCAGCAAGATTATTTGCTAATCTGAAAATGAGATGAATGAATATCTTAAAGTGTAGAAGTTGCTTCTCACTTTATGAGTACGATATAAAGAATGGGAGAAGTTTGTTTTGTATGTTTAGCTTCTCACCATTAATATGACAAAGTCACTAAAAAGTCTCTAGTAAATTGGCAAGATTTTACCTTCAAAAGTATACAAAAGCCAATTATTTAACAAAGTTCTTAGAATTGATAAGCTTTTTGGATACCATCAAACTATTAATAATTTTTAAAAGTCATAATTGAATACCATCACTTTTAATAAGTCTTCAAAATTTTGAATTGCATTTTAATTCCGTGAAAGTGTTTAAAATTCCACAAAAGTATGAACTAATAATAAATACACACCCCATAGTTTTTGTTTTAATGGGAAAGATCTAAATTTAGATTTTCATGTATTAAGTTGTCTTTGTCTTAATTTTTATTTTGTGTTAGTTTTTATTTGTTAGTTTTAATCTTTTGTCCAAACAAATTGACCTAATTTCTATTAATTATGACTAGCCTCTTCGCATGCGCTTTCGCTCCTGCGAGAGGCTTTTTTTAAAAAAAATATTTAAATTTATTTTATAATTAAAAAAGATAATGGGTAGTTGTGTTCTATAAAAATAGAATCCACTATCTGATTTTTCTTTTTCTTTTAATTTTTTTAAATATAAAAAAGTGTAAATTTATCATATTATCCTCATTTAATTAATAATTTCAATTCTTAATATTTGCATTAACCAATGGCATTTTATGGTATTTTGAATGTTTCACCATTCTCTACCTTTTGCTTTATATATATAGATAAGATATTATTTATCCAATACAAACCGTTGGATCATAAAGTACAATGGATATGAATTGTTGGGTTTTCTTTATCACATATTTGAACAAAATATAAGATTCTCACAACATATAAGGTTTCATCTCAAACCGACCATTGGATCAAATAAAGTAGATTTAATATCATCCATCGGATTATTATATCTAGTTTGCACAAAATTCAAAATCCGACATTATATAATTTCATCGCATCTTAAACTGTTGGATTTCACTAATTGGATCCTCACGAATCGGTAAGTAGGCATGGCATATACAACTATATCTTCTGCAATGGAGAATTGTGACATTTTAACTGTTCCTGCACCTTCTCTGGTTTGTGCTATTTTGATGAAAAAACTAGATAGTAAAAAAACCATTTTTTTGGTTAGCTACATAAACCCCTCAAATTTTGGGGGCATTTCAATTTCAAATTAGTACTTGAACTTCGAATACTTTACGAAGTCATACGGAAACTCACGGTAACCATCATGTACTCGAGTTCCTCTGTTAGTAAGAGCGTTATGAAATTGTGTTAATGCTTACTTGAAAATATGAATTATTTCACAAAAAAAGATTTCACTTTTCATGCTCACAACATGGACAAAAAATGAAAACAAAAATCAAATTACTCTTTGTCTATTCGACTAAGATTTTATTGGATTTTAAAGTAATTAGGAGTCGTCTATGAATTTTATTTGACGTTCATAAACTCCATAGATACTTTGATTGAATTTCATATGAATTTTGATGAAAATTTTAAATTTTATCGTAGAGTTTTTATAGATTTTTTATAAACTTCTATAAATTCTCTTGTATTTTTTAGTAGTTCATTTAATGGGTATTTTCATTAGTTCCAAATTTATAATGTTTGAAATAACAGTAGGTCATCATGTTTGATGTTGGTGGTTGGAATATAGATATAGTGGTTGTGGTGGTGGTATAGAGGCATTAATGGTTGTGGGGATAATGTTGGTAATGATCATGTCAAGTGGTGGCTACATGTGGTGAGTGTGGTGGCGACAATGGTGATGATGGACATGGGGTGGTGGAAGTCATGGTGGTGATGGCTATTGCAATATGATGGTTGTGGTGGTGGCAACATGTCTGATGGTGGTGGCAAGGTTGCGGTACTGGTGTTGGCTATGATGGTGGTAGTTATCATGACGAAGTGGTGGTGGTGGTGGTTGTAGTTAAGATGATGGTGAAGGTGGTTGTGGTTGCAATGGTGGGAGTAACAATAGTGATGGTAAATGGCTATGGTGATGTGTTGGTGGTGGTGTTAACCATGACAAGATGGTTGTAGTAGATGTGGTGAAATCATATCTTGACATGAAGAAAAAGATTTTCTATAAAAAATATAAGGGGAGGAAAGATATATTTAGAATAAATGGGAATCCACTCTTTTTGTATTTCCTTCAAAGTCAATGACTTTTGTTTTTAATGCAATTAAACTTTTGTAGAAATTTTAGACTCAATTGAATACAAAACTAATTGCACATGGGTGGCACTACAGTGGAAATGTGGGCCAAACACTCCCTCTCCCTCCCCAAGTGCATCTGAGTTCGATTCACTTAGGATACAATTTTGAGACAACCCAAATTCCAATATAATACTCCCCCCCGCTCCCCATCCTAGCGAATGAATATATATAAAACTACATAAAAAAAGGAAAAAAATTATAAACAAATTAAAATTTGCAATTGAATACAAAAAATGAAAAAAAAAATATATTAATAAACGATTGAAAAGAAAAAAAAATTGAAAGAGAAATAAAATAAAATTAGGCCCCGTTAAAAATAAACGATAAAAATGAAAAAAAAATTGAAAGAGAAATAAAATAAAATTAGGCCCCGTTTGGTAGCCTGAATTGGACAAGACTGAATTTGACTTTGTATTTTAAATTGGACTGGTTGGAACTGAACCAGACTTTATATATGTTGTTTGGTGCTACACTGCATATATATAAAACTACATAAAAAAGAAAAAAAAATAAACGAATTAAAATTTGCAATTGAATACAAAACTAATTAAAAATGAAAATAAATAAATAAAGGAATTAAAAATGAAAAAAAAATTGAAAGAGAAATAAAATAAAATAAGGCCCCGTTTGGTGGCCCGAAATGAACAAGACTGAATTGGACTTTATATTTTAGATTGGACTGATTGGGACTGAACTAGACTTTGTGTCTATTGTTTGGTGCTATACTTAACTTTGGACTAAGAGGAGAGAAGAGAAAGAGGAGAGCATAGAAGAGAAGAGAATAGACTAGGAAGAAGTGCTGAGCGAGATGAGAGCTCACACATTCGGTGAGAGAGAAGACGTGGCTTTGAAACCCATATCTAACAATATTCAAGATTCATATCTAATCAGTTGTGCACTTAAAGCCTACAAAACAATAGACTGAACTCGTGTCTATTTTAATTGGATATATTCAGTCCAGTCTAGCCCACCAAATAGGGCCTTAAAATCCACCAAAAAACAAACTAGACTCATGTATATTTTAAATATATATCCAATTCAGTCCAGCCCACTAAACAGGGTTTACAGGTTAAGCGAGGCACAGTCCAATTTTAATCTTTAAACCCTACCTCACGTCGCTCGCCTTCTTGTACTTCACGATCACTATTTTAAATATATATCCAATTCAGTCCAGCCCACTAAACAGGGCTTACGGGTTAAGCGAGGCACAGCCCAATTTTAATCTTTAAACCCTACCTCACGTCTCTCGCCTTCTTGTACTTCACGGTCACTCGTAAGCTTCAGTCGACAAACATATAGAGAGCCACAACCAGCATACCAACAGAATCAGCTGTCTCCAATTTTGCCTCCACGTTTTCTCTTCGAAACTTCAGTCGCCACCTCTGGGTAAGATTCTGCACTCTGTTTCTCGTTTTCTGTTTAATTTCTGTAGCCCTAACTTTTTTCTTTCCCTTTCTCTCGCGTCATGGAGACCCATCCAAGATTCAACGTCTGAACTTAATTTGGGAATTTTGATTTTGATTTCGCATTTGTATATTTGCACATTTATTTCAAATTTGTAAATTTCTATTTTCCAGATAATTAGTAACAAATACGTGGTTGGGGAGAGAGTTCAATACATGGGTTTTTACCCCCCAAAAAAAAAAAGAAAAAAAAAAAAAGAAGAAAAATACATGGGTAGGAGTTACAGTTCTCATTTAAAGACTGTTATTGTTAAGTAGTGTAATTTAGATTTGTTGTTTTGTTTGTTTGTTTCTTTTTTCTTGTTAGGCAGGGTTTAGTGAGAAATGGAACATGGGTCCATATCTGATCCCAGCCAATCCACATTTTCTTTGATTGATGAGGATCATACATTTGCGAATGCGATCAGGTTCACTTTAAATCAGGAGTAAGTGCTTTCTAATTATTTAAAATGTTTTTACCAAATATGTGACTGTTGATATGTATCAATAATCTGCTTCTTCTATAAAATTGCTCTAACTATAGCTTTCTAAGCACGAACCATAAGTTAATCATTATGAATTTGTACATGTTGAAGAAAATCTTGCTAAATCGGGTTACCATTCAATTGGAATGAGCAAAGTGGGAAAAGCTTTATAAGTTTAATTTACAAATTTTCCTCAGAATCCTGTTCATATTTTCCCTGTTGAAGTAAATCTTTCTATAGGATAGGATTAAGTAACTGGAAAATGATAATTATAATAATAAGTAGTAGTGGTGGTAATAACAGTTTAATGATATCTAAATGAAGTTTTTTTTGTTATGTTGCAGTCCAAGGACAAAATTTTGTGGGTACAGCATTCCTCATCCATCCGATAATCGAGTTAATATTAGAGTCCAAACAACAGGTAACATATATATGCTTTGCCTTCAGCAATATATATGGACTTTTATGATTATTCTTGTTCTATCAACTATGTTTCTCATAATTGCTGGCCTTGCACTTGTTTCTGATTTATTTATTTTAGTGTAAGATAGAGACTGATGGTCGTATGCATATATTACTTGTTTATTATGAATAGTTACAACAATATCTTCTATTCACTTGGTCATGCCTCCAAAATACTCAAGTTGTGTATTTGATACTTTGCCTGATCATATCTGTGATTGGAACCAAGTTGTGGAGTCTGAATCAGTTAATTGATTGTAGCAACATTAGGTACCCATAAAATAGCTGCTTAATCAATACCCTAAAGAAGTGTGGGCTCTGTATTACTTCTAATGGAGTTTCTGCTTGAACATGTAAACCTATTATCATCTCAAGATAGTTGATTTGGACCCCTTAAAAGTTCTAGTATGATAATTAATGCATCAAGCAGTCCTGCTGTGGCAGATACACATTACCATTTAAATTTGGGGTTAGCCCTGGTGGTGATGGAGGAGTGGGGAAGAGGGTGTAGGACTAGGAGATAGGTTAAGGAATCCCATCCAATGTACCAAAATGTAGTCTTCGTTATGGAGGCCAAGGAGTTATATACATGAAAACTTACTTCATTCTTACACTACAAGGGAAAGTTTTAGAAATTTCCTTGGTGTTTTCATAAGGAATTGCAGTGTTGAAATCAGTCTTGAAGTTTATAATGCGTCTAACGCGGATATTTCATGAAACTTTACAGGTGCTGCAGCGAAAGAAGTATTCAAAGATGCAAGCCAGGATCTCATGGTTGTATGCCAACATGTGAGGAGCACCTTTGACAAGGCTGTCGTTGATTTTAGAATGAGCAAATCCGTGAATGGCATGGATATTGACTCAAATAATTAACCCTTGATATCTTAGTTTTGAGAGTGTTGCTTCTTCTGCTAGCACTAAAATTGACATGATGTGAATTGAAGTAGACAAAGGTAAAAGAGATGGGATTTGTTTGCACTGTTCTGAAATTTCTGTTTTCAAAAATATGTTATCGAACATTAAAACAGAATGTTTTGGTTTAGGGAAGCAAATGTTATTGTATGATATTTTCAACGTTAACCTCCGTTATGAAAGTTGCTTCCTCTCTGTTCTAGGTTTCGATTCCCCCTTCCCCCTTCCCCCAATATTGCTTATATATATATAATAAAATAAAAATCTAACTGAGCATTGAACATTAATTCTTTGAAACTACCATACTTTTATGGTTTGAGTGTCATTGGATTGTTTTCTATTTTTATAATTCTAGTGACCAAAAAAAAAACTGTATTTTTTGTACAAGAAACCAAACATAATTTTGAGATAACCACTGAATCACATGCATTCTACAATGGTAGTTGGGTCAAATTTGTAAACATGTACTTGGAATCTTCCTTGAAAGTTTCCTATATAATAATCTCTGTCAAGATCAACTAGCCTCCGATGATTTATGGTTTCGACAGCTTATTTGAACATGTAATTCGAATCTTCCTTGTATATTTTATGAGCACATGGATAAAACCAAGATTACATTTATGACCCTCTGGCTGCTACATTTAACTGAGTGTGATGGGTGATCCATATTTTATGAGAAAAAGAAAAGAAATAAATCATTCAACCGCTGTAATTAGAGAGCTCATCCAATCACCAAAAAGAAAATATGGAAATTAGAGGGCCAATGGTTCAATATTTAGTTGGAAGACACTCTGACATCACAGGGCTGCGCCCTCAAATTATATCTATGGATTTGTTATGGGGCAAACTGCCCCCGTCACGTAGCGAAACCTTTGCACCAACATTAGGATTAATTTATTTCAATTGTTTATATTTTTCTTTATGAACGAGGACAATAAGAGGGAAATTTATTGAATCTTAGAAGAAATAAAGTGGAACTAACTTATATAGAATCAAAGAACATGACGTCTTGAATGAAATCAGGAGGCAACTCGAACCACTAAAACGAGTCCTCTTCAGTTAAACCAAAAGTATTGATAAATAGAATCAAATATACTTTATATTTATACTTTTGTAATTCGAATCAAATTATTTCAATTTCAATTTAGTCCTTAATTAGAATTGTCAATCTAATTATGAGTTTTGTATTCATAAGCCCACTCAGCAAAAGTCTTTCGGACAACTTTACCCCTCCCTATCCATACTGACATGTCTTTCACACTAAACAATGTCAAAACTTCTCAAATCTTGTTTTTGATCAAACAACACTTCTCAAATCTAGTTGTTTAGGTTAGCAAAAGTCTTTGATTTCTATGGTTCTTTTCTTTTTTCTTCTAAATATATATATATATATATATATATATATATATATATTTCTCTCTCATTCATCCACTTGGCCACCCAAGTTTAAAATATGTTGCATGTTATACTTCCTCTACGGTCACATATATATATTACCCATCTACTTTTTTGGATCTATTTTCATCTTACCTGTCTTCCAAGTTCGACCCCACCTAAACAAATTCCTAGTATCCAAACTTTACACCTAAA